AACCTACCTCAAACCAAAAGCCTCCTCTGGGACCTTTTCCCTGTTTTAACCTTTTTGCCCACGAGACCTTGGCTTCGTTGCTCTGGATCTATCCCTCGCTGTCTGTAGACGTCTTTGCTTCTGCTGATGAGGGACGGAAGAGCAGCTCTGTACCTGAGAAGATCTGACTGCTTCACCTGGGAAAAGTGAGACAGGAAAGTGTGGGACATCTCTGGCCTTGTCTGTCCCGATTTCAATGAATTTTTTTATGTTTTCAAGGGCTTCCACTTCCCGTTACCTGCCCACAGGTGTGTACAGCCCCATGAGCCATGTCTAAACTGACCTCTGATGTATTTTAATGTATCCAATGAATATAGATGAAGAGCAGCTTTCTGTAGAGTTCAGCCAAATATTATTTAAAATGAGCTGAATGCTTTCCAAAGAAAAGAAAAACTAGTTTACCTGCATTTCCTGTTTGTTTTCACTCCGGTTCCTGTCTGAGTCGAAGAACAAACAAAACCAAAATAATTCCTCGCCATCACATTTTATGTCTCACACAAAGACTTTGGAAAAAGGAGTGAAAGTATATTTTCTTATGTCGTGGTAGGATGAGCTGTCAGGAAAACCAAATAAATGAAGGATAAAACCGCGCTGACCAAAAGCTCAGAAATATCCAGATATTATGTTTGTATTTACGCCACAGAGCATGCTCACTCTGTGCGGATTAATGTCTCTACGAGTGACCTCCGACCCCCTGACCTCCTGATCCTGAGGACTTTACTGTAGCCCTCTGTGACCGGGACCAGGTCCCGTGTCTGATCCATGCAAACGGACCAACAGAGAAAAATCGTCCATGTTTTAGAAACGTCTCCTTCTTCCAAACATACATTCTTCAAATTTAACTCATAAATGATATTTTCTCTCTGCAGGGAACATTGAACTCTTTTTGGTTTTTGATGTTTTGGCATTGGTGCTATCTAAAACAAGTTAAAAGAGTAGAAAAACAGAATGAAAAGATTGGATTTGCTGATGAAAATGATCCGGTATCACCTCGAGTACATGAACGCTGTGCTTGGCCATCAGCCCCGAGGACTCTGAGCTTCACATCTCCTCACCTGAACGTTTCTTTAATGTTCTCCTTGTGAGCTGAGGGTTGTTGTCTCTGCTGCACGATTCAATCAACAGGCAGATGTCCTGCTTCTCAGTCCAAATCCATCATTCCATCAGTGATGGTGAGCTGTTCTGGTCTGTATGCACTGAAGCAGTCCCAAACCATGACCCCACCATAGATGCTTTTGGACTGCGGGAACATTTTCGTAGCTGTGGTCACTCCACACTGCAGGAAGTACAAACTGCCAAAGTTCTTGGAACCTGTTTAGCTGCTAATTCAGGACTTTTACTCTCTGAGTGACAAAGTACATGCTGATTGGTGCACCACCATCACTTGCCATTTAAAACCGTGTAATCAACAGTTAGCTCTACAAATGGCAGAAACCATGGAGAACAGGAACTCTGTTCTTCTCTGGCCTCACCTCCACTCTCATTAATTGCAGCGTCACTATAACAGTTTATGTGAAAGTGCTTTGTGGTCCTCGGCTGAGACAGTTCTGGTTCTCAATGCTTTCTTTCTACTCACGCTGCTCTCCTCCGTCCTCTAAAGAACCTTCATCACCTGCGTTACAGGCAGTGGTGATCATTTTCTGAAGTCCTCGCTCTTCTCATCTGTTCAGGACTCACTTCCTAAAACATGCGGAGATCTATACCTGAAAACACCTGTTTCAAATATCGTTTTCACCCATAAATAAAGGGTCATATTTGAATGCTATTGAACTGCTTTCTGTTTAAAACCTTTTAGGATGTTTTAAGTCGCACTGATGCAGAAAAGAATCTCAACCTTTTTCCTGGAGCCAGCGCTCCTCCTTAAAGCCCAGACTTAACAGACCAGAGTGTAAACTGTGCCAAAGTGTAGGTCAGGGTGGGGAACTCCAAGGGCCGGTGTCCTCCAGATTTTGGATCTCACAGTCAACACACCTGAACCACATGATGAGTTCATTACCAGGCCTATGGAGAACGTCACGACATGTTGAGGAGGTCATTTAGGCATTTAAATCAGCTGTGTTGGATCAAGGACACGTCTAAAACCTCCAGGGCCCTCGGGGCCTGGAGTTCGACATCCCTAGCGTAGGTGAAAACTGTGGTGAGCCATCTTTGTGTCAGAGTGTCTTTGATTTTGGACCTTTGACCTCCTCCCCCAGTTCAACAAAACACCCTCCTTGCTGTCTTCAGGGTCAAAGGTCAGAGGTCACAGAGCTCCCCGCTGTCTTCATCTCTGCTCCGAAATGAGACGATTGTTTCTAAAAGTAAAGTTTTCAGGTGTTTTGTTGAGTTTGTTCTTTTTCTAGAACTTTCCGCTTTCTGTTCATTCTTATCTTTCCGTCGCTGCCGTTTGGCAGCAAAGAGGAAAGCTGCCAAAATAAAGACATTAAAATTTGTATTTTTATTCTAATAATATTATGATTCTTCCAGTTTGACTTTTTTCTGATTCTTTATGTTTGTAGCTGACAAAGATATTTGTAGAGTTGTAAAAGCTGTTCCAAGCTGAAGGTAGAGCCTCTGATTAAACAGCCATATTTACCCATAAGCCATATGTGATGTCAAAGCCATGCTGTGCATAAAAACCTGTTTTATTGTTTGTCCGAGCTGAGTCCACCTCCTGCTGTCGACACACTGTAGAAACTAAACCTGAGATGTAGCGATCGTAGTGACTGAAGCCTAGAACCAATGAGAGAAATGATGCTTTAATGATTCTGTTTTTTCTATAAAGATGTTTGAATAATGTGTCACAAAAATAAAAGCACCCAAAGCTTTAAACTGCTTTTTAAACCGAGCTCTGAGCTCTCGTATTCAGAGCCTCCTGTTTGTGCTGCAGATTCTCTCCACAGACTGTTTCTCTGTCCTAATTTCTGCTGTTCAGACACATAAAAACCAAATAAAGCTGAAGTAGAAAACATGTCTTTGTTGATCATTTATTTAGCGGACGAGCTGCTCGTGCAGCGACACCTGAGGTTTGACAAGGTGAGTTTAATGTACAGTCATGTGAACTGCCGATAAAGACACATTAAACAGATTTGTGACTGCATCAGCACTAAAACTGTGCAGCAAGAGATTGATGGCCGAGCAGCTGGTGCAGGTGTGAGGTGAAGTACTTTTGTACCTCACCTTAACACCCGGATATCACCTGGGTATCATCTGCATAGCTGTAAAAATGGATGCAGTGTTTTCAAATAGTATTAAATAAGGGAAGCGTACATTAAGATCACTGGTCCCAGCACAGAACCCTGAGGAACTCCACGGCCAGTTTTGGGTGTTAGGGATTACAAAGTAACAAGTTACTGTAATCATATTACATTTCAGTAATGCAGTAATGTAATCGCATTACAGTTGCAATTATGTCATTACTTTCATTGAACAAGTTCTTGAGATAGTGCCAGCTGGACAGAAAGAAAACATTCTTGTATGGTACAGTCAGCTGATTCAGTCCATGTGCAGGAGGAGGACAATGGTGGAGCAGCACAGCGATAGCGTTCGAGGAGTGGAGATGTGGGCATTGCTTTTATTTTACTACACAAAAGGACAGGAAGACGGTAGAGTGGAAAGTGCAGCCAGGACACAAACAACCAGACTTTTCTACTAACACAACTTTGACTTGTAACAGTCGTAATAGTGCGGTGTCTCCTTGAGACAGCGTAAGTTGATGTTTAGTGATGTCACAAGTATTCACCACTGCCCTCTGTAGAGCGGCGTGCTCACACATGGACCTCATATCGTTACCTCACTAACTCAAAGTATGTTGTATGAACTGTATGTTGGTTGTATGAACTCTGCTCACTTCATGTATGATGAGACCGCAGCCGTTCAGTCGGGCTTGTAAGGTTGGCGTTTATTAAAGGACAAACACTGTGGAATTCCCACTGCCACTATGGTCGCAAGCTTTTGACTGTCCTGCTGAGTGTGTCGGCTGCCTCCTGTCGACCACTGAATACAGTCCACGTTACAGACACTTTGCTAACATGTGAACGGGTGGTATGCTAATGCTAAGCTAGCCAAGAACCCAGAGTGTTGTTAAAGCAGACGTTAGCCCAGCATCCAGAGCCTGAACTTATGAGCTCATCTTTAATTTGAGTTAATAAGTGATAAACTAAAAACCAAAGTCCATATGTGTGCGGTCATTAGGAGGGCTTTGCGTTGGTGTGTGGGACTGTAGCCTGTAGGTAACTGGTAACAATGGGTTTGAGGTCATTTTGTAGAGAAATCAGAAAGTAATGTAACCAGTAGTCTGACAACATACTTCTCCGGCGAGGAATTAAATAAGTTACTACATTACTTTTAAGAAAAGTAAAAGCTAATGTGTGATCCATTACTTTTCTTGAGTAACTACCCCAACACTGCCAAGGATGATAACATTGCTAAAAACCTGAAACACAAACAAACATGCACGAGTCACATCATGGGTATGGTCACATTTGAACCTCCAAAGCTGCAGTTCCTCTAACATCCAGCAGATGTACCAGTGAGTCAGTCCCCAGAGACTTCCATGCCCCCACAGGTCACCTGTTTGAACTGGATTAAGGCTTAAAGCTTGCATCATTAGGGGCGTGACCTCCTTGACTAACAAGTGGATGGTGAAACAGGCAGCTGCAGCTGCTCGCTGTCCGCTTGGCTGAGCTGGATCTCTGGGCCACGTTTGTGCTGTCAGACATCATCTAACCAATAACATGACTGCTGTGAGGTCACCATACTAACAGACTGAGAAGGCTGAGCTCTGAATGAGTGAGATTTGATGTTGTTGTATGCCACACCTATACAGCCTCTGGATGCAGACACATCCTGTTGTCTTAGAGCTCCACCCTGTGGTTCACAGAGGGAGCACGTCCATTTTGGAGGTGTCCCTGACGAGGTCATCCAGGCACTAGAAGCTGCTCTGTGGATTCAGATGAGATTAATGATTGATTGAGATTAATGAGAAAAAAAGATGCACTTTAATTTGTAATCAAGAGGCATCAGCATGCTGCTGCTGTTTGACTGCAGTCACTTCTCATAAAGGCCTGACACAAGGGTCAGAGGTCAGCGCCTTCTCTCTGAGCATCATCTGTGGAGGGCGTGACAAACCATGTGATCTAAACTGATAAAGTCAACATGCAGACAAAATGACCGCGTTATTCTGATTCTGTGGCAACAACTCTGCTCAGGCGCCTGCAAATAAAAATCACCTGACACAAAGCATAAGTCACATGCTAAAGTCACGTGCTTTCATTGGCTGATCTGCTGCAGTCTGGTTGTTGGTGGAGGGCTGCGGCTCGTGCTCCCTGCTGTGAGGACCTTCTCTGGTGGACATTCGGTCTATGTATTGGGACGAAGTGTCCGCATCACACCTCACCCAGCGGCAGCAGGCGGCGAGGTCGGCCCTAAAGGACGGCGTGTAGAAGCCGTAGATGATGGGGTCGCAGCAGGTGTTCAGGTTCCCAAACACAAAGAGGGCGTGGTGGACGTACTCCGGTGTGATGCGCAGCATGTCGGGCTGGAACCAGTACCAAATCCCCAGCAGGTAGTACGGCGTCCAGCACACGACAAAGGACAGCACGATGACCACCGTCATCTTCAGAGTCTTCATCCGAGCCTTTGGGATGATGTCGGTGCCACTGCGACGCAAGGGCGACTCACCTGCTGAAAGAGGGAGTGTCTACATTGCTGATCATACAACAAATCAGCTGTGATGGCTGAGAACAGGTGTGGTTCAGATGCGTTACAGGTGTTGTTCACAGATGTGTTACCTTTGTCTCTCAGGTGCTGCTGGTGGATGTGCAGCAGGATGCGGCTGTAGCAGCAGCTCATCACCAGCAGGGGGACGACATACAGCGTGGTAAAGTGAAACATGTTGTAAACAGTTTCCTGCCAGCGGCGACTGAAGCTACCGTGAGACGCACACTGAGTGAAGTCCACCGAGTCCACCCTGATGGTCCTGAAGATAAATAGCTAATGGACGGACAGAGTCACACTTTGGAGGCCTCACATTAGTATTTCTAACAATAAACAACAGCTCATTAGATAAAAAATCCAGATGTGACGTCCTGATCTGAGTTTCAGTTTTGCTCTGAAGCTGCTCTTACTTTGAACTAGCAACTGACGTCTCAGGATCGGTAGCATGCCTTACAGAAACAAAGGGGAGCAGTTAGCCTGAGCTATCAGCAGGAGGTTGTGCATGGATAATCCAGAGCATTCCTGCCAGGATTAACACGCAGTCAGAATTTACTGCAGGAACTTTCACCTGGATCAGCTGCATGTGAGAGCAGCCGGCACCTGCTGACAGGTGGAGAAGCTGCTGACTGCTCAGACAGGAGGATCTCTAACAAGAAAACGTGATCATTTGACCTGCTTTAATAAAATCAAGTTTCTTGTCGCCTCATACATGTGGGTGCAGAGCGAGCAGCAGGTGCACAGGTAGCAGCAACACACAACTTAATGTTATGTTACATGACAGACTGCTGCATTCACTTTTCAGCTGTGAAACAAACTCGTGTCTTACATAACAAAGCGAGTCATCTCCAGGTGTTTTATTTTTCGCGT